TGACCCCTCGGAGACATTACGTGCGTGCTCTTTGGCCAAACAAACAACGCATAGATCGTGTGTGTCATCAGATGTTAAACAACGTCAACATGGATGCACACATCCTTAAATGCTTTGCTAGTGCTCGCCATAATGAGATAAATAGAGATCGCTCTTACCACAGAAATGCACGCTTCAAACAAAACAGTCAATGAAGATGAAGAAGAGAATGATGTGTAGCTCCCGGCGCCTATTTATACTATAGTCGCACCGGTAGTGACGTCATGGCTGTCGCCCGGCCAACGAGTTGGTGTTTTTTCAATGTATGCTTCAGACACGGGTCACGACGAGGCGTTCCCCCATAGCGACCCCTAGAGGACGCAGTTCAAAGTTCCCATGAAAGGGAATGTGAATTACAGTATGTATAATGTTTTCTACATTTTTAAATTGCAGTCTAGAGTGTTTATTATGAGGGGTAGAATCCACAGCTCAGTATTCACTACTCACTACTCACGAGTACTTTTAAATAAGCTACTCTTTTACTCTTACTCAATTAGTTTTTTGGACAAGTACTTTTTACTCTACTCACACTACTTTTTTTGGAATGTAATGGTACTTTTACTTGAGTATATTTTTCAGTGCTCTTTCCACCACTGTTTGTAAATGAAAGTGTTTAATAACAGTAGCTCAAGTAAAGAGGAAGAGGAGCATCTAAGAGAATATCCTAATAATCTACGGCCTGTCCCTATGTCCTCTACTACTTCATTTGGTCTCTGGAACTGCCAGTCTGCTGTAAACTAAGCAGAATGTATTCCTTCTATTGCTACTCATTCCAGTCTCAACCTCATGGCCCTAACTGAGACTTGGATCAAACCCGAGGACACTGCCACTCCTGCAGCCCTCTCCATTAATTTCACTTTTTCCCACACCCTTCGCGCAATGGGGAGGGGGGGAGGTACTGGTCTAATTATCTCAAATGAATGGAAATTTCATCTTCTACCATCTATTACAGGCAACAGTTCATTTGAATCACATGCAATTACTATTACCCACTCTGGTCAACTGGGTAACTTCTTGGAGGAGTTGGATGTGTTACTATCAAACTTTCCTGAGGACGGTACTCCTCTGGAACTGCTCGGTGACTTCAACATCCACCCAGAAAAACCCCAGGCTGCTGACTTCAACACTTTGCTCGCCTCATTTGACCTCAAGTGCATGTCTACTACAGCTACTCACAAATCATGTAACCAACTGGACCCCATCTACACACGCTATTGCTCCACTGACAACAATTTAGTTACTCCATTACACACCTCAGACCACTTCCTCATCACTTCTAACCTCACACTAACTCTTGACATAGCACACATTCCTCCGCAGGTCACCTTTCGGCGTAACCTACACTCACTCTCTCCCTCTCGCCTATCCTCTATGGTTTCATCCTCACTTCCTTCACCCTCTCAGCTTTCAGCACTGGACACAAACAGTGCTACTGACACTCTCTGCTCCACTCTAACATCTTGCTTAGACAACTTTTGCCCCCTTTCATCCAGACCAGCACGTACTACCCCCTCTGCCCTCTGGCTGGAAATGGCGCAAATAAAAAAACTCAACCGACCTCAGTGTGTATCAGTCACTCCTCTCTTCCTTCTCTGCAAATGTCTCCACTGCTAAAACAACATACTACCACAACAAAATTAACAACTGTTCTGACTCTCGCACACTTTACAAAACTTTCTCTTCTCTTATCTGTCCTCCTCTCCTTCATCAACTCTTACAGCTGATGACTTTGCAATATTCTTAATAAATAAAACAAGAAACTTCAATGACCAATTCTCCACACCAGAAACTCTCTCCACTCTCGGAGATGGACGTTTCCAAACTTATCCTTTCCAATCATCCTACTACCTGTCCACTTGATCCTATCCCCACTCACATACTTTAGGCCATTTCTCCTTCAGTCATACTCACATTATCAACACCTCTCTTCAGACTGGTACATTTCCCACAGCATTTAAGCAGGCTCGGGTAACCCCACTGATTAAGAAACCCTCTCTAAATCCAGCATTTTTTTGTAACGCTCTCTTGGCGGGCCTTCCCGCATGTACTATCAAGCCTCTGCAACTGATCCGGAATGCAGCAGCAAGAGTGGTCTTTAACGAGCCGAAAAAAGCTCACGTTACACCTCTCTTCATCAGTTTACACTGGCTACCAGTAGCTGCTCGCATCAAATACAAGGTACTGATTTTTGCCTACAAGACAACAACTGGCGCTGCACCAATATACCTAAACTCGCTAGTTCAAACATATGCGCCCTCCAGAAGCTTGCATTCTGTAAGTGAACAACGCCTTGTGGTGCCATCCCAAAGAGGCACAAAATCATTATCACAGACCTTTTGCTGGACTGTGCCCAGCTGGTGGAATGACCTCCCTATCTCAATTCGAACAGCTGAGTCTTTAGCCATTTTCAAAAAATGTCTAAAGACACATCTTTTTCGCCAGCACCGGACCAAATAATACTAGCATTTACTACTATTCTATTCTATTCTGTTCTATTCTATTCCATTCTTTAAAAAAAAACACCCTATCTATGTGTACTGTGCTAGACTAACTGAGACTTGTCACAGCACACAGCATTGTATACTGTTGCTCTCTCGTTCGTCTGATTGCTTCTATTGTTCTCCTCATTTGTAAGTAGCTTTGGATAAAAGTGTCTGCTAAATGATTAAATGTAAATGTAAATGTAAGAGCAGAGCCCTGTGAAAAGAGAGCCATAGAATTGTAAGAGCCATTGGTTGTAACAGGTATACAAAGGTATTTGTTACTTTTAAACCCCACAAGAGAAACAATCTACAACAATTGTAAATATTTTAAAGCTGATTTCTTTTATTTATGACAACTTGTTTACAAGGAAAAAATCTTTCCAAAAGTTAGAACTTCAATACATTTTGTCCAAAAAATGTCATTTTCAATATGATTGAAACAAAAACCCAAGATTAATCATTCAAATTTGTTCCGCGATGAAGTCATCCTTTGCTTTCTGAAAACAAGAGCTAAAATATGAAGAGGTGCACTGAGAAAAAAAGCATACATTTTAAAAGTAAAATCAACAAGAATTATTATAGGCAGTTTGTGAAAGATTTGGTGAAGTGTGCCATGTTTTGTATGTTTTGCACTCAGCTTTCTATACACAAAACAAACCATTGGTAGGTTGATTTCTCTGAGAAATTGTGGTTACACATTATTATCAGAACTAAAATTTGTTAAAACTTTAACTTTTAAATCTAAATCTAATCACAAACATAAGTTTTATCCTTAGTCCCACATTAAAATAAGTACTACACACTTTTAATATATGCGAGTATCAGGACCAACACAAGTGCCTATAGTGTGGTACTTTATATACTCACTTCATATTTGCAGTGTATAAGCATGAAAATCACAAGACAACTTCAGGCTAAAACATTTCATTACAACTGGACATCATGAAAGCCCATCACCTTAATTAAAACAATACCAATAAATACAGTTGTGGTCATAAGTTTACATACACCTTGCAGAATCTGCAAAATGTTCACAATTTTAACTTGTTTTAATTTGTTACTGTCCTGAAAACATGTTACTGTCCTGAATATGGTATTTCACATAACAGATGTTTACATATACACCAGAAGACAAAATAATAACTGAATTTATCAAAATGAGCCCGTTCAAAAGTTTGCATACGCTTGATTCTCAATACTGTTACCTGGATGATCCATGACTGTTTTTTCATGAGTCCTTTGTTAGTCCTGAGCAGTTAAACTGACCGCTGCTCTTCAGAAACATCATCCCGCAAATTCTTTAGTTATTTTATCTTCTGCAAAATATGTAAGTATCTTCTGTAGCTTCTGATGGGCCATACTAAATGGAAAAATATGATCTTTGAACAAAATAAGAAAACTTTACATGTCATCATCCTGTTGTCGTGATCCCTTTATTTTGTTAAAATGATTAACATTTTGCAGCTTCTGCAAGGTGTATGTAAACATGTGACCACAACTGTATATGGTGCCTGCCAAAAGTATTTTGACCCACTGAAAATGTTTTGGTAATGGTTTCCATTTGTGAACATTAGCTAACCACATTACTGGCCGTGATAAAGTGTGTTCTTCATGTATGCAGGTGTATAGTATGATTACACCAAAGAAAAAAATGATTTGTAATTTCAGCTGTGTAAACATGGATCTCCAGAGCAGAGGGGTTGCATTTTTTGGAAGATTGTATGTTTTAGGTTTTTATTTATTTTGTTAAAACCAATCCTGCTTTCAAATAATTAATTTTGAGATTTAAGATTTGCTTCACACCAAACAAGAGTTCAATAGTTTATTTTTCAGTAAACTGGTCAAGGGTCTGAATACTTCTGAAAGTCACTATATATAAAATAAGTATATTACAATATCATAATCAATCAATGGCTTATTTGTAAACATTTGGCTTAGATGTGCATTTGGGAACATCAATAAAATCTTCATTCAATGCCTTTGGCCTTCAACTCATCCTTTACTCTCTTCAGGTAGTCAGGGTCTGGATAGCCATACCTGTGGACAGAAAAATAATAGATATACATGTTCAGATACACTATTTTATTTACATGAAAGCCAAATAAACACGTAATGTTTGATTACTGATTTTGCAGGACATGATGGACAACTGAACACAGACTTTAAATGAACTCATACTTTAGAGGCCCGCCGTGTGTATTGGTCTTATGATGAATATCATTCCAGGTGACAGCGTTCTCTAAACCGGAGGTTGTAGAGGTCCCAACAGTAAAGATCAGTTTCTGATCAAAAGCCCTCTGCAGCAGTGCGAGCACTTCATTTCCTTCACGGTTGTCAGGCAAGTACGCATGACGTGATGTGCCATGAAAATAGTTTCCCGGGTTTGGATGCCTCTTCTAAAAAAATTATAAATATGATGTATTACTGTGCCATAACCTTAACCAAAACTATATGTAAATCAAAAAAGAATCAAATATAAATAAATACATTAAACATTTTATACTTTATATTGTGTGTTTGTGTTTTCATTGTTTTTCTGTATTTTGTGTCCACTCCTTCTCCTGGAGGGCCAATTTTCAGCAAAGTTTAGCTCCAACCTGCTTCAACACATTTGCCTTAAAGTTTCTAGTAAATAGTGTCACACTGTGGATATCCAGGGAGATTGAACCTGTTCTTTGTTACTTTCATTGTTCCATCCGGTTGGTTCCCCTCCAATTTCCCAAACACTTCCTTGCACACAGGACAGATGGATCCCAGACTCTCCACTGACATCCTTATACATTCCTGACAGAATTCATGCCCACATTTCAGTTTTGTCTTGTTGGTGAAGCTGTCCATACAAATAGTACATGTCTCCTCTTCAGCATGAGCACCTATACTCTCATGTCTAGAATTGTCTTTTGAATCTTCATTGAAACCAGCATCTGCTTTGCCTTGCCCTCTAAACTTCACTCCCTCATCCTGTACTGCTCCACCCACTGCTCCTGGTCCATAATCAGGCGTCTGATTCCAGTTGATTCCTTTTGTGTGAGGAATGTCACCTGAGTAACCAATTAATTTCTTCATTGTGTCATCAAACACATTCCTCTGAAGTGTCTTCTCAATATCAGCAATGGCAGGACCGAGATGTTCTGGCAGTCCAACAAGCCTCCAGAGACTGAGTCTATCTGCTGCTGCAACAACACGATGCTGCTGCTGAAGTTTCTCTAATAGTGCTGCCACGTCAATTTTATCTGCAGGGTTTGTGAGTTTACAGCTGACAGTGGCTGAGGCAAGTTTCTGGTAGAGTTGTGTTAGAGCTCTGAGGGCATGACTTTCCAGATTAATATGCTGAACTCCTTTAGATCGAGCTTGAACCTTCATTAAATTTTTCTGCATTTTGTCTTCATGAAATGACACTCCATACTTTGTTTCAAGCTGGGACAATTGTTCTTTATAGGAAAGATTCATCAGATCCCAATGAACC